TTGTAATCTATCAACATTTCTGAAGATCTAGAAGAAGAATTCAACTTGCAATTATTTTTCTAAACATCAATTTTCAGATTTCATATTTCAATTTCTATAATCAAAGCTAAATTATCTTCGTTAATTAGGTTCAAATGGTTTAAAGCAAATCAAACATGAAATATGTATACCCAATCCCCAATCCCCAAATCCCATAAACCAAACTAAAGTTTCAAATGGTTTAAAGCATTTGTTTTCATTTTTCAAGATTGGTTAGTGAAAGCTCACTTCACCTCTAAAAAGTAAACCAAAAACATATTAAGGTGGAAGACCAAAAATACCAAAATCTTCTTTATAAACACAACCTTTTTGCTCCTCATTTATGAAGCAAAATATAATTCCAAATAACTCATTTCAAAATTGGGAGAAGCAGTGACACCATTCCACAAGCTGCAATAATGCTTAAATTTAAAATGGGAAACATCTAAAGATATTTTCATACAAATCTGGTATTACAACACATAAATCCATCAAGAAACCAATTACGAGGACCCTCGGATGTTCTTTTACAAGGGGCATAAAATAGTTGGAGTCAATTCTCAAAAGTCATGCATTCTATGCGTAACGAAAAGCTAAAGCAACAACATTTGATGATCGATCCACACCCTCTATTGCAAAGTCGAACCAAAGAGCATTACAACAAGGTAAAGCCTCAATCGAGTTGGAACAATCAATACTTTGGGGCTGGCTTCTGGGTGGGCAGCAAACCAAAACGCTTCTTTAGGAGAACTCTCTGCCTCGAGAATTTGTCATCAGGAGAGAACCGAGCTGCATGAGTCCATAGAAGTTCAAATACATAGGTTATATAAGCGATGTTTGCATTGCTATGCTTATGTGCCATAACAGACCAAAAGAACAAATGTGAGGGGGTGCGAAACGTAAAATATAATTTGAACTCAAAATTGAGTTCTTTCAACTATATTTCAATATCTCAATAGTTCATTGGTGTAATTAGAATCTCAAAGTTACCTGGATGAGCAGATTGTGTGGCCAGCCCTACCGGTGATTCTTTCTGAAAGTCCCAAAAAACAAAAACAATAATGTCAGGCAACCTAAACACATAGTTGGAAATAGGCAGGCATCCAAAGTGTTCAAAGAGTGAAAGTCACTAGAGACAAATAAAATTGCTAATAAAAGGAAATATCAAAGTCATCGGTATTAAAGAGGCTTCAGCCAGCATGCAGAAGAAGACAGATGTGCTTACATTTATATTCACGTTACTTGTAGCTCCATTTGCAATATGGTAAAGCCAAAAGGGTTTTGTCATTAACTCAATTACCAATAATAAAAAAAAAATTGCTTTAATTCATAAAAAATCCTTTTACAGTTTATTGGTGAAAATGGCACTTTGGTTATATACAAAAACAAAAAAATCAGAATTTATCAACAATCACAATTAGCTAAGTTTTGAGAAGTGAAAAGATCTTAAGTGCAAAGTGCAAACAAATCCAATTAGAGATTGGAACCCAGAGCAGAGAACTACAAGTCCATGGAACAGGGAAGAAACATATATACATTATACAAAACATTGGCTTTCTGCTCAAAAGCCAGAAACATTATAATCCTGGTTCAAAATGAAGAATCACAGCATTGAATAGGATCCTAAGTCACACATCTAAAGGCCCTGGGATTGGTAACCCTCCCATCACACCAAATGGGAAAATAATTATCCATAGTACTAAATACTGGTAATCTGGTATTATTAGTGTGTACCACAGTTCTTTTAAGTAAAAAGTTGACAAGGAGAGGATGATAACAATCCCTCCATGCTAAATCCAATTAACTGTACAAAGAATGCTTCTAGTCCCCTAATTCTTCAAAGCTTCATATTTCTATTCATGGCACATAATATTTTTGTAGGTTCACAAGTCCACAAAGAATAAAAGCTCAAATGGACAGGTTTACAACACAATATCCAAGAAATTCAAAACAGTTCACATATTTAAGACAATAATAATAGGAAAACAGAAAACATAAGAAAAAGTCAATTGCACAATAAACAGGAAAAAAAATACTAATCATCTTACCTTTGTCGTATAAACTTTGTCGCCATTGTCGTTTATGTAGAAGTGGAGATACATCTTTGCTAGTTGTCTGGCAAGAGCTGGAAAAGATATTTAAAACGAAAAAATGTAAACTTTATGAATACATAACACATACGCAAAATAAGCACTAGATAGACGAATAGATACGGAGAAACAGCAAAACCCAGATGGGAATTAACAAAAAGCTTTGATCTTTTTCCCTTGGTTTTGCTGTTTCTCTCTTCCATACCCAGAAACCCGAATAAAAACCCTAGAATTAGTAACTCACCTAGTCTCCTTCTTCCTAAACCGTGGATGCAGAGGTTTAGTAGGGTTTTAGAATACACATCGCCAAAAAGAGATGACACCAGGGATTAAATAGACAATTGCGAAATATAATTTTTTAAATTCGTTGTTTTATGGTTTTTTTTTTTTTTTTTTTTTTTTGATCGGTAGCTCAGACTTAAAAATAAAAAAAAAAATAAAAAAACCATAAAACAACGAATTTAAAAAATGCTGGGGACTATATATACATGGGCTTTAAAGTAGACCTAAGCCTAATCTATTTATTAAATAGGTCAGGCCTAAACAGGCCCAAAACATGCAAGGTCATAGCCCATAGGCCCCTTCAAAGTGGTCTAAGCATATTTTCATCCGGCAAATTATTGTATGGACCATGGTCTACACAATGTTATGTGGACCATAATAAAAAGTACATTTTAAATGTACCAAAAGTACATTGTTTTTGTACTGAATATACACTATACAATATAATGTACACTAAAAACAAAAATAATGTACATCCCCTGTATATAATGTACATTATCTTTGTACTGAATATACATTATTTTTGTACTGAATGTACATTATTTTACAGTAGACAAAATATGGTCCACACAACTTGTGTGAATCATGGTCCACACAATAATGATTGATTTTCATCCCTAACAGTGACTAATAAGAATTTATAAATAGATGTAATGATAGTTATAAAACCCTAGAAGAGTCGAAGAATTTTTTTTTTTTTTTTGAAAAAAAAAATGTAGGAGAACTTGTTGGAAAAAATAGCTTAAAATGACATAAAATGGCATGTTAAGTGGCTATTTTGTGGTACAATTATCAGTGGGGTCCACTTCTGATTTGGGTCGGGTCAAAATGGATTCGGGTACTTCGTAGTGAGACGAAGATATTGATATATTGTACGCTCAAAACGGATAATGGGTGAATGAGATATTGATTCTCAAAGTAGACCCATTGAGTTGGAAAAATGAAGGGTAGTTTTGTCGCACATTGGTTTGGAATGAGGATTTCCCCCCCTTATATACAAGAGCTCTTTTGAAGCTTGTAGAATTGTATAGCATAGAGGCTCTCTCGCGCGGGGGAGGGGGTGCAAATCAAATTCCAACTAGACAAGATTGAAAAAATGCTTGATTCAAGCACGAGCTCGTGTGCGCCGGCACCTGCGGGCCTGGGGTCGAAACTGGAAGTTTCGGCCTACACGAACCTGTGCAGTTTTGTGACCGTTGGGTGTTCAATTCTACTGTTATGGAATTAATTGTTTGAGTTAATTCCAATTTTTAATTTTCGAATTGAAACACAGCCCCGTTGGGTGTTCAATTCTACTGTTATGGAATTAATTGTTTGAGTTAATTCCAATTTTTAATTTTCAAATTGAAACTCAGGTTTAAGGCTGCTGTTACAGGAAGGTGGAGGGGTGCTCTTAAGTGCCTAACAAAAGCTATTTAAATCATCCACCCCTATATAAGGAGGAGTTGGGCAGTAGAGTTTTTACACAGAAAATATAGAACACGAAAGTTTATCCACTAGTACAAAATTAACCATTCGCGTCTTTACTAATTGACAATACGCGTCTTTTTTGGCAAAGACGCGTATGGCGCAGACACGGAAAGCTGAAACTTTACGCGTCTTTACTTGGAAGCCGCGTGAAGCTTGACTATACGCGTCTTTAGAGCATCCACATCAGCTGGAAAGATTTAGGAGTTATTTGTGGGCCCCAGCATCCACCTCATTCTCCACTATCTCACTCAATCACAAATAACTCTTCTCCACATCAGTTTGAGATATTTAGGAGTTATTTGTGGACCCCACCATTTAACTCACTATATTTTAATTATTTCTTTATCTATTTTATTTATAAATTTATATTTTATTTCTTTCTCTATTTTACTCCAACATGCCTACGAGATTGGAAGTATTGTCTTTTTCCATTATGATAAAAGAAATTGAGTAGAAATTGAAAGAATTAAAATGAATTGTGAGAGTGGGATAAAATGTAAAAAAATTGTGAAGACATGTGGTATTTATAGATGAATATATATTATATTTTTTTTTATTTAAAGTATCCGTTGCCAGCAACGGTCGGAAATGTGACCGTTGCCGGCAACCGATACAAATCTGGCCGTTGCTCGGCCAGCAACGGCCAGATTTGTATTAAATGAGAGTGGCCGCCAGCTGTCAATCGCCCAGCCGGGTGCGTGTCGCACACGCGCCAGGCTGGGTGGTCAGTGAGACGCAATTGCGTCTCACTGCTTTATTGTTTTTTTTTTTTTTTTTTTTCTGACAATCTCCCTACATTTGCAGGGAGATTATTTTTCAATTATCTCATGTCCACACTAGCTATTATCTCATGAAGGGAAGATTTAATTCTGAATTCTCCCCACAATATCCACAAGTGTGGATGCTCTTACTAGCTAAGTAAAGACGCGTATTGTGTTTAACAAAAATAAAAAAAAATAAATGCGCCTGTACTTATATTCTTTTAATATTAAATTTAATTCAATATAATCCCTGCTCAACAGAAAATTCCCCCACCATGCTCAACAGAAAATCCCCCACCAAACAACATTTATATGGTTCAAACCATTCAACACAATATATATATAATCCAACATACATAATTTTCTAAACACAATATAATAACCCTAACATTAATCTATCATTATATATATAATGTAATTCCATCTAAATCACATAATAAACATTTATATGCACTTATTTACAAAATAGTCTATCCATGCCCTCCTTATCTCATATATTCCATCCTTAGAATACACATTTGTGTCATGATATACCTACAAAATTTTGGATAATTAAAAGAACATGAGTATATAAACTATAAAATATTATAATGCAACTACCATAACAATGAGTATATATACTATCAATTTTTAAAAGACAGTGCAACTCTTTCAATTATAAAATTAATACTGGATTTACCATAACAATGAGTAGAGCCCATTCTAGGCACATATTTATATCCAGAGTTACAACATAATATTTTTTAACTGTATCATTTAGACTATTTCATAGACAAACATCAACTTAAGAGACAAAAAGAAGATGTGTCTGATGAATTGAAATTGAACACTGTATTCTCACAAAAAAAAAAAATAAAAAAATAAGAAGACCGTTTACAAATAAGAGAAATTTATTTAACTTACAATAATAATAATAAAAAGGAAAAAAATATTCAAACATCTATTCTATAATAATGAAAGCAAAGAGTTTACCTAACCATTCAGAAGTCCACTTGGAACTTCGACAGAATTTATAGCAATGACTACTTGAACAATTTGAGATGCGATATTTTGGTCCTTTTTGAACAAGTTAAAAAGATATTGCTCAAATCAATCAGATAGTAACATGCAAAATATGTGATAGAAGAAAATGAAACAAAACCTTCGATCTCATCTCCTAGATGTCTAGTTATATGATCAATTAAAAGCTGAAATTGTAGAGGATTGGAGGTGCCGCTCCCAACACTCAAAGTCTCAAACCAGAGATGAATACCACATACTTGTCTTCACCTGTTCATCCAATAAATAAGTTTTAACTTGAATGCTTACATACTAATTCTAATGTTTGTTTAGTATAAGAGTTGTAGTACTCCAACTTCCATTAATTTATATATGATGAAATCACCTACTCAAGCTCATACACTAAATCAGTTCTTCATGATTAAATACTGAAAAGAAAACTTTGATTCATATTACTTCATCTGGACACTAAATTAATTTGCAGGGCTGCATGCAAACAAAGGTTCAAATTCGGTCCAAAGAATGGCAGAGCACCAGAAAACAAGCAAGCACATACACTGAATAAAATGCCAGAAGATTAAGAAAACATTCAAGTTATGCAATCTCACCTGATTGAAGTGGTTGCTCTATTTGTTGTGCTAGGCCAGCCTCTAGAACATCTTCAACCAGAAAATCACCAGCAGTAGTTTCTTTTCCAAGTAATGCCACAACTAGCCCTATAAAGCATATCATATCAAGGAAATCAAGTATGTCAGGTAAACTTGATCATGTGAATGTGATATAAAAGGGAATTGTTCATAAACATATCCTATGGCACTCAAAACAACTCAATGAAACACCTTAGATGCTGAAGGAATTTTACAGTAATCCTCTAATAGTTCAAGTACATTCAAACATTAATAATTGTTGTGCATGCATACACTAAACTTGTTCTTTGTTCATTACAGATTACATGTTATTCTGAAATGGAGAAATACACTAGTACTATGATAAACCTGTATGCTGAAGAGTCACAATAATCAAGTGTGTGTGTGTGTGTGTGATACTTAAAAAAGAAGGATTAAAGAATCCAATATTCCCTCATCAGAAAACCAAATATGTATACCTTTATGCCTCAATTATTGGAAGATGAACACTTATGAGCTCAAAAAATAGCTGAATTATCTCCTGGGCAGCCATCATTTTCTCCTCTCTTATAATATGTTCCACATGATATAGTAACAACAAACCCCATTGTTAATACTTAATAATCATTTAAATCTCCAAATGGTAGGATTAGATGAATTGCATATAAAATGAAAATAATTGTATGAGCACTGGGATTGAATATTAGCATAGAAAGAGTGCTTTATACCTGAATCTGAGCAGTGGCTTCCTGACCAGTTTCGAGAAGCTTGGCAATTTCTTTGAGCATCTGCTCCAGCTGAATCTCTCTACGGTTTCTCAATAGCTTTATCCAAAGTATTGTCGGCTTCAATAGAGTTTTACTGCAAATCAAAACGCAAAAATGCTATCAGCCGCACACTCACAGTTTAGGAAACAGAACTCAAAAAATCCAGTCTTGGTAACTTCGAAACATCCAGAACAGAGAAATAAAATTGATTCACTGCAATGTAGAGTAGAGGAAAGGATCGTAATAGAAAATCACCCAACGAGATCGTAATAGTTGTCTTCATTTCAGTAAATGGAGATTGAAGGCTGGATCAGAAGGGAGAGATGCGATTTGAAGTGGTCACTGCCGCCACATCCACTGCTGGATGTAGAACACGCGATGTGTTGGTCGAATCTGAAGCCGCCATCGCCTTTCACGGTTATAGATCTGAATCTGAAGATGCCGTTGAATGATATCCCAGCGGAAAACGGCCACGGCCACGGCCTACTCTTTGACGCACTCCGTCTTGGGGATGACTTATACGCTGAGGCCCGGAAGGGAGCCACTGAGGAGAGCAAGACGAAGACAGAGAGAAGTTTAGTGCACTGAGCGGTGGAGGCGGGGCAGGTGGAAGAGACTGAGGTGCGGAAGGGAGAAGTGTAGTGCGACGGCAAGAGGGAGAGATAGAGAAAGAGGAAACTTAGGGTTTTGTGGAGTAAAAGATATTTATATGGTTTTTTTAATATGTATGAAATAAAAGAAATACGAGTCTTTACCTTGACGATAATGACGCGCACTGTCTCCGCATTAAATTTTCGCGTCTTTACTAATTTAGTAAAGACACGTAAAGTCTTTTAAATATTTACTTAAATGCCACTGCGCGTTACTTCCCTTACTTTAGAAGTCTTTAATTGTAATTAAAGACGTGTATTGTAGTATTTTTTTGGTCCATTTTCTACTAGTGATCTTTTAGCCTCAAAACCTCTCTGCTTCTACTCCTTCTTTAGCCATACTGTGTTCATAGCTTTGTCTTGCTCGCCGGATTCCTTGTTTGAGTGCTCAAACATTGAATCACTAGCAAGTTTTATCCTGGGAAGCCTAGGCCACAACGCTCCTAGCATCTTTGGGAGGTGGCAAATAAGGTTTTAAGGAAAGAGTGATCACTTGACTCTTGCAAAAACCCAACACCAAACACTAGCCAATTTTCTTCATCTTTTCTTCCCTTCTTTCCAGAAAATAATAGTCATATTTTATTTGATTATTATTTGTTTTTCTACCAACGGCTCCAACAGAACTTTAAAACAAAAAACTAAAATAACAGTAAAGTACATGTTGCTCCTATTAGATTTTAATGGCAAGAGGCGGTCACCGAAGAAGTCTATAAGCTCAAAGTCTCGAAAGATATCTCACATGATCTAGGGTTTCCTGTGTAGAGAGCTAGAGAATGACGATTGAGACTATGTGTATGAGTGGATGAAACTCTAAAAGTGAGAGGTTAGAGGAGACTTACCGGGAGTGACTAAGCAACGATTTGGTGAAGGACTGACGGCGAAGGCGTGAGTCGATAGTGAGAGCCGCCTGAGAGGGGTGAGATCGTGAGAGCCACGAGGGTGGAGAGGCAAAGTCGGATTCACTGTCCCATGGAGAGGTTGGGCCTAAGACGAGGAGTGAGAGGTGCAATGAAATGAAATGAAATGAGGGTGCATGTCTGAACCTTAAGCCTAATAAGCTTTATATGAAATTTATACTCTAGACCCGAAATTCGAACCGAGTACATTAATTTGTGACTGGCTTTTTACGGTTCGACCCATTAGTTTGAGCCCGATTTCGCAAATTTTTTGGATTGAACCCAAATTATGCTCACCCCTATCAATGATACACTTGATCACTTTTCGTCATCCAATAATGTCTGAAGTGACTTTTTTGTCTCGTAAATTTATAGGGATTTGGTTTAAAAAACATTTTATAGTCGATTTATGGACTTAGAAAGCTACTACGCATACAATTGATGGATGAAAGTGGTGACAATATAATTGATGGATGAAAATGCTATTTTCGTATAGAGTTAATAACCAAAATAGTCCCTCGACTATATCATAATTACCAATTTAGTCCTCGACTATTATTCTTACTCAATTAAGTCCTCAACTATGCAATATTTACCTAATTTAGTCTTCCGTTAATTTATCCGTTAGTTGGTTGTTAATAATGAGGGCAAAATTGTCATTTTATTACTTCCTCCCATCTCCTTCCTCACGCCACATTATACTACTATATACACATGCCATGGCTGTTTTACTTCCGGATCATGCGACGACTTCTGTTCTATAGACGTCCCATTTCCACAGATACTTTCATGGAGACCATAATCCCAAATCTACTAAGCTCCCTCTCCCTAACTCTCAAACAGTCCAAACACTTTCTCCCCTCGCCGGCAAACTGGTTTCCCCTTCCGATTGTAGTGCCATGCGGGAGCTTTAATGTGACTCTGTTTCTGTCACATTCATGGAGTCCGGTGGCAACTTCGATTCACTCACGGGCTATCATCACCTTGACGTGAATGATTTTTATCGTAGCTAAATTACGAGAGCCAAAATATACCGCCGGTGGGGAGATAGTATTCCCCGTTTTAGCTATTTAAGTTACACTTTTTCTGGGCTTTGGGATATGTATTGGCACCACCCACCACCACATTGTTGGAGATGGAAACGCCATGGCTACGCACCATTACGGAGTGGTTGAGTGTGTGTGCGGTGTTTGCTCATGTGGACGCCCAAAGCCTGGCCTCTTAACTCCAACCCGCAAACAGTGCACACATGTTACTTCTCACTCAGGTAACCACCGAGCGTCCTCGGTGTGGCTAGCCTTGTGGCCGCCTAGAGCTTGGACGGAGTGGAGCTTTTTCCGGCAAGTCTTGCACTCGTAAACCCGACCCCGACATCGCTATCTGTTCCTCGTCCATACGAGATATCAACATCAGACAATTCGCCATGGCTAAGCTCTCCACATCATCGTCTCTGTTGCTCCTCTTTAGCACCACCATCTCAACAGCAACTGTTCTATTCTATTCTCTGTCAAGTCAAGTGTTAATAATCCGGCCAATATGAAATTAAACCCAAGCCCAACTGTGAACTTCAACTTGAATTTTATGCAATAATAATACGAGCTGAGCGTTCACAAATATATATATATATATATATATATATATATATATATATATATATATATATATATATATATATATATATATATATATATATATATATATATATATATATATATATATATATATATATATATATATATATATATATATATATATATATATATGCAGACCACATATCAGATCGATATATATTTGTGTACCACTCTTTTGTCGTTCCCTCTTTTTCTCAACATCACTGGTGCGCAGAAATTCTGGTGTATACAGTATAATATGGCAGCGCGAGAGAGGAGATGGAAGAAAGTGGTAAAATGACAATTTTACCCTCATTATTGACAATCAACTAACAGATAAATTAACGGAAGACTAAATTAGGTAAATATTACATAGTTGAGGACTTAATTGAGTAAGAATGATAGTCGAGGACCAAATTGATAATTACGACATAGTCGAAGGACCATTTTGGTTATTAACTCTGTCGTATAGTTCTAAAACTAAAAGTGCCATTTTTTCTGGAATCATATGAAAAGTGTAAGTAAAGAAATCTTTTTCTACAATTTGTAATCTATGATTTTACACCATTCATAAAATCCATAATTGTTCTTCTTAACATCTTTTCATTGTTTATAAGTTCTTATTCAAACACATTATAGTATAATTTTTTACATGTATTCGAACAAGTAAAACGCTAGTTAAGAATAATAAGAGATGACAGATTTTTTAATATAATTTGATAAAGTTGAATACATTGGGTCAAATTTTTTAGATTTTAAAATGTTCATATCACTTATTTTTAAAATGCATGTAGGGATTTTTTCACATAATATTCAAAATAAAAATTCATCAAAAAATCAATTTTGGTAATTCGTTGATTAATCCAAGGTGTGTGAAACTTATACTTTTCTTAAAATCAATTTGCTTCCTCCAAGAGTATTAGAAGGATAGAACACTCTAAGTTTGAGAGGATTAGAAGGAATTAATTCATTCAATTCAAAACCGTAAAAGAAGATACAATAGTATATCAGAACTAACCTGTAACTACTCCTAACATATAGGAAATACTAAGTCAATAGTGTTACAATTAAATAACATAACATAAGACTAATAATAATAATACTAACACACCCCCTCAAGCACAAGGGTGAGGAACAACATTGAGCTTGTCCCGTAGAGTAGTAAAACGAGGTGACGGCAGCGGTTTGGTGAAGATATCGGCAAGCTGATCGGCAGTAGACACATAATTGACCAGAAAATCCCCACTGGCGACTTTATCCCGAACAAAGTGGTAGTCGATTTCCACATGCTTCGTGCGTGCATGGAAAACTGGATTTGCGCATAGATAAGTAGCACCTAGATTATCACACCATAGGGTGGCCGGCTCCCCAGAGTGCAACCCCAACTCCCGGAGTAAAGATACTACCCACGTTACTTCAGCGGATACGTCAGCTAATGCTTTGTACTCTGCTTCAGTGGACGAACGCGCAACGGTACGCTGTTTCTTGGATAACCAAGAGATAAGATTAGTCCCGAGATAAACAGCGAAACCACTGGTGCTCTTGCGATCAACAGGACACCCAGCCCAATCTGAATCTGAATATGCATGAATCACAGTGGAGGATGATGGTGAAAGACGCAACCCGTAGTCAAGTGTGCCCTTGATGTACCGCAGAACCCTTTTAACAAGACCCCAGTGTTCTGTAGTTGGCGAGTGCATGAATTGGCATAGTCGATTGACCGCGTATGCCAGATCAGGCCGAGTAATAGTTAAATACTGAAGTGCCCCAACTATACGGCGATATTGAGTAGGATTGTCGTGTAACTCAACTGCTGATATAACTGTCTTTGTGATAGCAGGCGGTGTAGTTAGTGGCTTACAGTCAGCCATCCCAGACCGCCCAAGTAGATCAGTCATATACCGGCGTTGTGATAATAGAATACCCTTCTGAGTAGGAACTGTTTCTATACCCAAGAAAAACCGTGGACTGCCGAGATCACGAATTTTAAAGGCAGAAGCCAGACGCTGTAATAAAGTGGTGACTAATGCCGAGTCGTTTCCCATCATTATAATATCGTCAACATACACAAGTAAGAACACCCGTGCATCCCCCGACGTGTAGTAGAATAAAGACACATCCGTTTTTGACGAATTAAACCCTGCAGACAACAGAAAATCGTGTAAACGCTTGAACCAGGCCCGCGGTGCTTGTTTCAAGCCGTAGAGAGACCGCTGTAGGTGACACACATGACCAGGATTAGTCGGATCTTCATAGCCTGGTGGTTGTTTCATATAAACGGTCTCAGTTAGATGTCCATTAAGGAAGGCATTATGGACATCCAACTGACGTAAGGTCCAGTTATGTGATACAGCTAGAGCAAACAACATCCGTACCGTAGTCGGCTTAACTACTGGACTGAACGTGTCAAAAAAGTCCTCACCTGCAACCTGATTGAACCCTTTAGCTACAAGGCGTGCCTTGTAGTGCTCTATAGAACCATCAGCCTTCCGCTTTGTGCGGAACACCCACTTACATCCAATGATA